GCTGACCGAGCCTTGACAGATTCAATACTTATCATTCTTTAGTCTTAACTGTGACATAGCATCTCAAAGAACGGTTAGAGATGAGGGCTTCTCTGTGGGGGGCACACATACAACTGCTGCTGTTAATCAGCTCCTGTCTGAAGGACTATGCAGATTAAGTGCCCTGCAAATAGGGTGAAAGAGGAAAAAAAAGGAAGTTTGAAAAGGTAAAACCACTTGCCACAGGTCTCACAAGAGGTCAGGATGACAAGCAGAAAAGGAAGTCAAGCATCCTGCTTGTTGGCCTTGCTCCTCAGCCTAACACTGCATCACCTCTCTCATTGCCAAAGTCAGGGCATACAGCAAATACACATAAGAAAACTATATATCCTGAATTACCACCTCTCAAACAAATCAAGGTCCCTTTATTGCACAGACCGCGTATTTTCAACAAGACCGTCTTTGTACCTCTCTTCTCCCCGTATGCATCCCTACAGTACACTGGAACTACAAAAGGAGACTGCTACTGGTGGTTCCTTTGGTAGCTCTGAGTGCTTACAGTAAAATACCAGCGAAAGTTTCTTCCCACTAGTCAGGGAAACTCCTCTGCTGTGGGGAGTGACTCAGCTGGGACATAGTCCAGAAGGCAACAAGAGATGAGGGGCCCCAATGGCACTTTTCCAGTCTTAATCAGCACTGCCTGCACAGTGATAGAGACTGATATGCTGCCAGAAGTAATTTCTTTCTATGAGACTTAAAACAGTGGTCCAGAACAGTTGTGATCTTTGTATGTGTTGATTTTGAGGTTTTTTTAATGCAAAGTCAAGGGCTTTAACTTCTCATGGTGGTCAACAAACAATTTTGATAGTTTAATCCTAATCTCCTGTAAATACCCATTTCTCCTCCCCCAACCTTACCCAATTTCCACTCCACAAAGTATTCTTTTTTCCAACAAATCAGACATGCCTATCTACAATAGCATATTTATCAATGGGGAGGGCTGTGACAGAGAGAAACCATCCCTACTGCACAGTGCATAACACATTTGGGAATCCTTTTCAATAAAAAGGGATTTGATTAAAGACAGTAAACTACCACAGATCAGCAACTGAATCAGCAGTAAAGAAGGAAGAGTAGCTTAGACTTAAGAGACTTCAATTTGCTGATCTGACAAGGACTTCCCAGGAGAAGTCACTCCATAAGTCACTGCATAACCTACAGGAGGGTAGGAGGGGACATACACCAAACATCGAGGTGCTTAGACTTAGTATGGCAGCGTAGCCTTTCAACAAAACTAAGTTAGGCAGAATACCCAGCATGTGTGTTTAACTCGTAAAAATTCACAGTGGGTTTTTTAATTATTATGCTTAGAGATGGTATTTCCATGCTTAAGCACTGCCTTGCCAATGGCACTAGAGGATTTCCCAATGACTGGATCATGTTGCTGTGGTACGTCTAGGTACAAACAGCTGTAAAACTGTGATCTTGCTGCTGTGAAGTGTGTCTCCAGCTTCTTCTAGCTCTCACCACGCACCCGGGCTCCCCGGGAATGCAGTGTCAACCCTGCTGTGCTCCCAGCTGTGTGTGCTTGCATGAGCGATCACTGGCATGAACAGCTCCCCCAGCTCTGAAATCACCTCCAGTAATTTCCACCCAGGGAAGGTGCAGAGAGGTGTAGTGAACACAGACCTGATGGAAGTGCTGTCTGTCCTGCTCCTGAATGCAGCTCACTTGGTCTGCCAGCAATACCAGCTGGCATTTCCAGGGCAAAGAGACAACTTTAGTAGCTCTGTCCCCAGGAACCTCTGCTCTGCCCACACTTACTCCAGAATCGAGATGGCTTGATCAAAAACCAGAGATACGGCAAGTGGAAGACGGTTACAGAAAAGATCCCAGAATGCTGACGGGCCAAGTAAAATGACCTTTCTCCACCCTGACAGTTCAAATGTAATTATTCCAACAAATTATTTTCATGACTTAATATAACGCCTTGCAGCTTTCTAGCAAGGTTAATTAGATTCCTCAATTCAAAACCTATCTCTCTTAACCAACTTTTAATATGCTGAAATCCAGTTTTCTAAATTCAAACTAATAAAAGTGATTAGCTGACAGCTATCTGGTATGCTACAATTACCATGGCATTTAGACCTCAGGCAGAAGATATTTAATGCAAATCAGAGTCAATGTCTCTGCCCATTTGTCCTTTTTCTGATTATTTGATCAATGTGCCATATGAATCTTGTACAATCCACGCTACCATGCTAAACAAATAAAGAACAAAGGCAGAGATATTGGTTGAGACAGTTAACCAAAGTTGAAAGACTCTTTTTTTTCCTCCCACACTTAATTTGTTCTTTCCACACGAGCATGAAGTTACTGAAAAGCACTGGCTGACAGCTCAAGTAGATGGGTATTTAGCTCTGATATAGCCAGAATTAGTATAAAACTCCCGGCCTGCCCTGACATATCAAAAAGTCTCATCCACTGTGACTCCAGAGACCACCTTCCCCCAGGAGTAGCTTGGGCTGGAACAAACCTAAGAGGATGAGAGCAGCCCACCTCTTTGATTTTATCCAACCACAAAAAGCAGCTGCGCTCCAGAACTGCTGGTTTTGTTTTATGTTTTTCTTGTTAGGTATATAATTAGTTGTGGCTGTGTCTCCCAAATGGCTGCATGGGGCATAGCATGCTTAGAGAGCTGAGGAGGAGTTCCGCTTAACACACGGTTGGTTCTTCTGCACATCAGGAATAAAACTGGACACCACTTCAGAGATGACCTTCAGTGGCATAGACATGGTGAAATTAGAAGATCAATCAGGTGCAGCTTGTAGTTAAACATCAAGTGCCTGAGGTAGGACTTGGGTTGTTTGGTTTTCATCTTCCAGCTTGCATCATGCACGATTATTCCATCTTTGATTATGCTACTGCTTATATAAACAACACTGGCAAAATTTCTGAATGCTCTGGAGCCTCCTTTCTGTTTTCTGGTCTCCTGAAAAAAATATTGGCATGGCATTTGTCTGACCTTCCATCTGATAGCCAAATTGAGGACCTAATGTTGAGAGACTTTATGTTCCAACTCTCTGAGCTATGCACCCCTTTTGGATGAAAAAACTTCGATGTACCACACTGAAACAGATCAGTCATCTTAGTGATAGAGTATTAATCTGCAAAACCCAAGCATTTCAGCTTCATAAATATAAGTGTTAAACAAAACTAAAGCTCCACTTCAGGAAGCAATTTCTGAGCTGTGAGGAAAATTAATCACTAGAACAGCTTATCAGGGTAGGTGGTTGACTCACCATTGCTTGAAGTCTTTAAGATAAGATTAGATTTTTTTTTTAAGTCATGATTCAATCATGTTTCTGGGAGAAATGGAGAGTAGGACATTAGGCAGTATAATGGCAAGGTCCTTTCTGACCTTGGATCCCCTGAATCTCCAAGTTCTTTGTTCACCTGCCTGCCTTGGGCTATAAGGAGAACTGGCTGGGCTTTGGTCCATCAACCAGCTCCTGCCACTCACAGCCCTGCATTAAGAAAATGACTGTAATCAAATCTCATGCTTCAGGGCTTCAGCCATTTGCCTGAAGGGAGTGGGAAAAAGGTTTCTCCCTCTTGCCCGCCCACACTAATGGCTAAAGACATGTTATGTTTGTTTGGTTGTTGCTTCGCTTTTAAAACATCAGAGAGTGAACACAAATGGATATGGGCAGAGATGAAGTCAAATGCAGCAGCACAGAAAATGCTCTCTGGTTATCCTCTCTTCAGTTAGTCATTCTTGCTCACACCTCAGATCTGTGCTAGCCATCAACTCTGATGACTATCCATGTTTACAGAGAAGACATTTTGGCTGTGAGAGTGGAGACCATAGAAGGTAGAAGGTACTGATGGAGAATCGGGACTGATATCGACCCCATCTACAAGGGGAATGTTTGCTGAGAACATCTTGAGCTTCACATGTAATCAGATCCTTGTCACTGCAAGATCCTTGTTTATTAGTGAAACCTTGTCCCACCTGCTTTCTGATTAAATCAAACCACAGAAGTTTCTTTAAGCTAGAAATGTTTTGGTCCAACCAAAATCTATAGCAAATAGACCTAGGGGGCAATCTAAACGAAGATTTTAAGAAATGGTAAAATAAAGGAAGATAAAGAATACAAAATGAGGGAGAAAGAAATGATAAAATTAAGAATTAAGAAATGATAACACAAAGGAAGATAAAGAACACAAGTCTCTAACTCTACAAACCACAGCAGTGTGTTTCCTAACAACAATATCACTCAAGCCTGTAAGAAACTAAGCATTCAGACAAGATGCATCAAATGTGCCCAAGACTCTTGACTTTAATGCAGCATCACCTGTGTTTTATACAAAGGCAGGATATATCTTTTACTCCTATAGATGCCTGAGATAATTCTGTTCTATACCACTTAAAAAGAAAATCAGTGGCTTATCTTTTTCCAGGCAAGGAAGATGACATGGTTATGAGCCGATCAGTTCAGGTATGTCTTCCCCGTACTTGTCAGGCCCAGTTCTGGGCTAAGGGGTCCCCACGTAAAACTGACCTGATTGACTCAAAATGGATTTCCTTTTAATCTTTGCCAGCACACAGAAAATGAAAATCCACGCCTTGGGAGCAGAACATATTTACATTGCCAGGTTTTCTACAGTTGCAACAAGAAGAGATGGGGCAGGTGAGCAGGACAGTGCACCACACCTGAATTTGGCCTGGTAGCCTAGAAGCTGGGGACAAATAGTGTGAAAATGAATCAGACACTGAAAAATTCAACTTTATAACCAGAAAGACTCTCAACATACAGCAAGTGAGCATGAGATTTATGCTGAAATTACAGAGGAATTCCTATGGATGATTACAGTTCCAGACCAAGCATGGAAAGCAAATCGATCAGTATGAATGTCACTACAATAACAGCACAGCTGTCAGGCCTCCCCGTTACCAAACCTGGTAAATACAGAAAGGGGTTAGACACATTGATTCAACGTGATGCGGCACTGCTCACCAAAGTAGTCATCAGAAGGAGGATTCTCCATGTCATACAGCATTTTCTTGGTCAGATGTTCCAACTCATCCTCAGGCCTGAAGGCAGGAGTGCTTGACACGGGTCCAGAGCTTGGATACCCACTCTGAAAAGAAAAAACGACCAACATTCTGTGATTTGGTATAAAAGCATTCACCCACAGTAAGAGGGTCTACTGGTTGTTCAGTGTTGAACTTCATGCTTTGTCTTATATCTGCTTTTTTTAAAACCCCAGTGATTCACACAAGTAAACATCTCATTTAACGTCATGAAAATGGACTCCTTAAAACATCCAGTGAAGTGCTATATATCCTCCTAGAATGAGAAGTATTCTGTTCCTCATAATTTAGTGTCTACTGAGTAGCACATAATAATAAATAAAGGAGAAAATTATTCCAAGGATAACTTGATACAAACATTTTCCAACACTGATAAAGGCTTTGGAAGCATTTCAGTTTGGATTTGGCAAAAGCTTCCATCACTTAAACACGGTATAAAAGATACTAGAACAATCATTCCTACAGTGGTGGAGTATATGGACAAAGACAGATAAGCCCGAGCAGCTAGTTATGTTCTCTTCTTGTTTGTTTTGACACAAATCCCACTGTTAACATTAGTGAGGGCAGGAGCTGGTGCACACATTTTTATTACTAGGGATACAAAAGTTTTAATATGTGCTCAGAAACTGAGACCTCTTGGCCTCCATATCCTAACAGCTGGCATACAGTATTTGCAGTCTGTCTCAGTGAGTCTTCTTCCTGGAAAACACCAGAAGTACAGGCATATTTCAAGAAGCACAGAAATAGTCTCATGACTAGAAGTTTCTTAGAAGAAGCTAAGTTTGGTGTCCATAACAAGAAACTCGGTCATTTCAGGATTAAAAAGTGCTGACACCAGCTTTCCTTGTGTGCACCACTTTCTTGAAAGACCTGCATGCAAAAACTAACTTATTTATGAAACACAGCATTTCAGTAAAGAAAATTATTTCATTGATTAATTGCTGCCTTCATCAAGGATTGGACGTTAGATATGAAACTTGTGAGCCTTAGTCTACAAGGAAGCATTTTTCCATGCTCCATACCTACTTAAATGGGAAGAAAATGTAAAATCACTGGAGAAACAATACACCTCTATCTGGCTTATAAAGACTACATCTGACATGATGAATCTTTATTGAACCAGTCATGTTCAACAGAGAACAGCAGCTTTAAAGCACTGCAAGAGAATTAACTAAATGCTTTCACGCTTTTTTCTTTCAGGCAAGAAGGAGATTTCAAATGAGACATCAATCAACGTAGAGAAGGTCTCAGAGTGGCGCTTAGCAATAATACTTCAATCATCCACTCCCAGGAACCGAACACTTGCATGTTCCTGATCTTGTCATATTTATTTTTCCTGTGCCCATGCTAAGCTATACACCATTCACCCCTCTCGCTTGTTGACCTGTTCTATCTCACGGCCACCGCACCCACGAGCGCAGCAGGTGGTTGCACTCCCTGAAAGTGCTGGATTTGCCATGCACACACAATACAGCAGTTGCACCCCACTGCCTGCCTGCCGATTGCTCTCTAACAGAGTAGCACAAGGGAGATAGGTGGCATGGTCCCCTAGAAGAAAGGGCACCTGGAATAAGCCCCAGGCTGGACCAATTTCCCTGGAGAGCTGTGTGAGGTCTGTTTGCCCTATGATCAGCCTCCCTGACTGAGAATATAGATTAGACCTATGATACATTCCGGTTTTCCCAGAGGTGTTTTCTTTTTCTCCTCAGAGATTTTTTCTGAGCAATATTCAAGGATTTTGTGCATTGTCCCATGATTTCTAGATGCCTAGTGTTGTTCTGAGGAAGCTGTTGAACATCCGAAAATCCTGAACGTCCACGCAGAGCTCAGTAAATTCTATTGTACAAACGCAACCATGCTGATGTGTAGGGTTGACACAACTTATTTTTTCATATGGGGAGACAGGCCTGTATGGTGCACAGGACTTGCATTTGCTTACTAAGTCATGTAAGTGCCATCTCTGTTAAAAAATCATTTTGGTGGAGTAAGGCCACCATACGACTAGGAATTTCAGAGCCAGGTACTTGACCAGTACACCCAGACGCCCTTGGCCGGTGCTTTGTGGCTCTTTTTAGAAGGCTAGTCGACAACTATTTAATTAGAAATAATAAATAGCACAACCCTAAAAAAAAGGTTTATTAATAAGCCAATTAAAGGTGCCAAATGTAAAGCATTTAATCTTGGAACAACCTATTTTTCCCCTTTGCTCTCTTGTTCCTAAGAGCTGATCATGAATCTTGCCTGAACATATATTTTAACACAGCAAGTGCAGCCAAGGATTTATTAGCTTGAGAAATCAATCTGGCAACTGAGCCTCTTAAAATATTATTCCATCTATTGTACCTACTTCAGTTTCTGTGCAGAAAGGAATGAACACTGCCAGCCCATTGACTGAGACTCCTTCCCTAGACTTTAGACAGAGAAGACAGTACGGCCCAAAGCTGACGATGGCCCCCATCCCTGTATCTCCCCCATTAGCAATCACCAGTGTAGCACAAATGCATGGAAGTGCCATGCTCCAGCCTCTTCTGCTGGGCTTCCGCACATAATCTGAAACACTGCTTTTACCCTTAGGCCTTATAATACAAATGGACCAAACAGAAGGCATGAGCTGCTGTCTGTTCACAGAAAAGGGAAGTGAGACACATGGAGTTGAAGCTATTTGCCCACCATCACTTGTGAACTTCAAGGCAAAGACAAAATCTGCATCCAGGCTTCTGTGAGCCACACGTCTTCAGTCTCACGGACAGCCCACCGGGGCTGGACTCAGTATGGCAGACCTACACTGGCCACTCTCTGACACAAAGCCACCACATCTGCAGGCCATCACCAGCCAGGCTGTGGCAGGACACCCTGGGCAGGTGGTGTGTGGAGCCTCTCCCTCTCTTCCATGGTGGCTTCCCACACCTCCCGATCAGGAGGCCTGCTTCTGCCTGCTTCAGTAAGGGCTTGGGCTGTGTCATTTAAAATGAAAGACCAAAATCTTCAGATTTCCAGTTCTGTCTGACTTTCTCTGGTTTTGGAGGCCACACTGCCTTGTACACACAATAAATAGGCTGCTCTCGTATTTTATCTACATCGTACTTTTCCAAACCAGGCAGATTTCTTATCCAGTACCCAATGTCAGCAAAAATAACAAATAGCAACCACAACGTTATGAGACGCTTTAACTTATTTTGACTAAAATGCTATGCCTTTTTCACCAACATTTAAGCAGTGCTAGGCACATATTTTTCCTCCTCGCATGGCACATGGTGACTATGTGCCTCCAGGAAAATGCATTTCATGCATACGAACATGCTGTTGAGTTTGCTAGGACACGCACGCACACGAACACAGAGAGAAAAGTGTATCCTTAGTCCAAACTAAAACGCTTGTTTCAGCAAAGCAGTTTCCTTCCTCCTCCTTTGTTAGGTCAGAGTAAAAATATAACTCTGGCTATCCTTACAAAACAGAGCTGTTTTGGTTTTGTTTATTAAACTTCCTCTGTTTTCTCCTGATCTGTACAATGATCAAGGCTGTCCAGAAATCCAATTTGCTGTCTAATCTACCACAGGTATCTTCACGCATTCTCTTTTCTCCACAATGCCCCAATGCACACAAAGATATACTTCCTTAGTTAGACACAGCTCAAAGCTGGGGTCTGTGCCGAATTGCGACGCAGCCTCCCAGATTCCCTGAGCACCGTTCTGTCTCGCTAACCACAGCAACATCAGGGATGACAAACTGACCTACGAAAATGGAAAATGGCCCTGGTCAGCAAAAAGCCAGCAGGGGAGATCACGCTTTGGGAGCAGGAGCACTTGAGTCCAACCCTTGCTACTGCCATCAAATACCAAGCAACCTCAGGGAAGAGTATGACGATTGCAGTTGCATGCGCAGATGCAGATGCATTCATAAATAAACAGTCCTGAACGCTTAGTTAATGGGATGTTTAGGAAAACGTCAGCATTCCCAGGGTTAAACCCCGTGGCAGAATATATTTTGATGCTACAAACGAAAGGAAGTGAGTTAATCACTTGGGTCACTCTCAAAGCACTGCAACAACATCTGGCTCATCTTCCTCATTAAAGTTCAGTTCCTAAAAAGCCAGGTCAAAAGAAGCAGTCTTGTGGAATCACTGCATAATTATTTTGGTACATGAAGTTGATACTTGTTTCAGTGCTTCTCTGGGGTGTGTTTTCTACTCCAGACCTCACGGGAAATCAGCTGTCTCTGATGTAACGGCTGCCCAGAAAAGGGAGCTCTGCAGTTAGCGTGGTGCATTCACCAGCATGAAACTTCCCCATCCACATATAAATTTTTTACCCAAATGGGTAAAAACCACAGCGCAAAATCTGCAAAGACATCTGAAGATGACGCTGTGATGAATGCACCATCATTCAAAGTGCACTGTATGTGGTCATTTTTCTTGTCCATTTGCAAATGTTGTAAAGAAGCTTCTTCTCTCTGAGAGAAAATAACTTCAATTATGTGTTCCCAATTACAGAAACGTGGAAATTATCTTCTTTTCAGAAGGTAGAATTAGCCCAATTTGGAATTGAAAGGCAGCCAGAAACATCTTTCACTGATACTTACTTTCCCTTTCATTTTTTTCTTTTTGTTCATCCGCATAAAGTTAGCACTTTCCTTTCACTTCACTCACCAAAACTGAGCATCAGTTAAATAAACAGTTAAATAGCATCACAGCACATTTTTTATTCAATGGCCTGACAAAGACCATACTTCTTCATTTAAGTTATTGACTGTCCAAAACAATCGCAAACTTTCAGACCAAAAAATCCAGCATGGTGCCACATCTCTCATGAGTCGTGCTGCCAAAGAAATATCAAGATTGCCTGCAGCAGCGGTAATTCAGTTTATAATTAATGTCAACTGATCTCTCTTACAGAGGAGATGCACTGGAAAAGAATATTTTAATCCTTGATTTATTTTCCCAGTGAAAAGTTACAGCTGCCAGAGTACATAAAGATTCCTGAAAAGATGATTCTGTCCAGATTCCCTGCGACACGCATGATCCTGGGTTTAGTCCTGGTCGGAGAATAAT